AATTCTTTAGCTAACGTTAGCTTACCTAACAAACGGATGTTAGGCGCCATCACGATCCCGTGGTTGGGATTTCGGATCGTGACATAATCTTGGATCATTAATTATGTTTTTGCTAATATTTTATCTACATTCAAATTAAGATTCATTATACCAATAAAGGAGTCAATTTTTCAAGTACACACCCACAACAAAAAACTTATCCACATAATTCTAAACTAAATACACCAATAATCATCAAATATAATTAAAAATAATTATATTTTTTTTACTTAATTAAGATAAATTTCTATGATTTGGTATAAATACACAATAACCTACTAAATATTATTTTTTCTAAATACACATTATTTCTTCTAGACACACACACTTTGAAGTGAATATAATATAAGTTCAACTGTTTTTCGACATATTTAAATGAGCATGCAAATTGAGATTGAGTAAAAGAATAAAGAGGATCTATCAAATACACAGGAAGTGAAAAAGGTTAGTTTTTAGGGGTGCACTTTCTAGTAGACAATATTAAGAGATAGGCACGTAATGTTTGGTTTTTGAGTGCACACCAAATGTTATAATTTTCAACGTCCCCATTTTGGAAGTTTCTTTTCTCCACCCCCACTCGTTCAAAATCCATGCAAAATTATCTTTTCTATTTCCGTTCATCTTCTCACTTTCTTTCCATTTCCTTTTTTTTTTCTCGCTTTCTTTTTATAAAGTCCAAAACTATAGTAAAAACTAAAAAAAAAGTACTATTGGTAAATAAGAAATTAACTAAGCACCTGATCAATAGAAAATTTTGGAAGTGAGCGATAATTACTCTGATCCTTCCCCCTGATCTTCACTTGGACAAAAGAAGGAAAAAAGAGGAAGGTTGAAAAATAAGATTCAAACACTCAAAAATAACACACTCAAGAGTGATAAATGGTCTCTATATAATGAAACAACCATAGCAAGTTCATATCACTAAGACACTTATAAATTTATTTCTGTTTTCTTTCTCTGATGGCCGCCTTTACCAAGAATTTTTCCTTCATCTTCCTCCTTCTTACCCTCATTTTTTGTAACAACCCGGTCGGTCTTTTTGAGAGTATCGGCCCTCATCTCCTACTTATTATCCCCCTGTTCATCTTATGGTTAATTGACTTGCCGGGGTGCTCGGTGTCGGGTTCGGGAGAGTTTCGGAGTGGAATGGGACACATAGTCCCTAAGTTTGAAGTTTGAGTTGTAAGAGTTGACTGTAGTTTGACCTATGTGAATGCTACTCTAGAATGGAGTTTCGTCGGTTCCAATTGCTCCATATGGTGATTTTGGTCTTAGGATCATGTTCGGATGTTGATTCGAAGGTCCGTAGGTCATTTCAGCGTTATTAGACGAAAGTTGGAAATTGGTGGAATTTTTGAAAATTTGACCGGGAGTGGACTTTTTGATATCGGGTCCAGATTCCGATTCCGAAAGTTGGAGTAGGTCCATAATATCAAATGTGACTTGTGTGCAAAATTTGAGGTCAATCGGACGTGTTTTGATAGGTTTCGACATCGTTTTTAGAAGTTGGAATTTCCTTAGTTTCTATAGGCTTGGATTGGGGTGCCATTCATGTTTTTGATGTTGTTTGATGTGATTTGAGGGCTCGACTAAGTTCGTATGAGGTTTTAGGACTTGTTGGTATGTTTGGTTAAGCCCCCGGGGGCCTCGGGTGAGTTTCCGATGGTTAATGGATTAATTTTGGACTAGGAAGACTACTGAAGAATTTCTGGTGTCCAGTTCTAGTTTCCTTATACGCGATTGCATAGGCTAGTTGGAGCAGTTGTGATGTTTGTTCAGTGCGATCTCCAGCTATGGTACGCAATCGTGTAGGTTGGGGAAACAGTGCATTGCGAACGTGTGGGTTAAGCCTGCGTTCGCGAAGAAGAGGTGAGGCGGCAGTAGAGTTCATGCTTCTGTTCTCTGTGGTTGCGTGAGGAAGGACGCGATCGCATAGGTCTAAGGAATCAGTGGTACGCGATCGCAGGTGTAGAGACGCGTTCGTGTAGGCTTAATATCTGGGGCAGCTGAGTTGTGCTTCGCGATCGCGAGGCAATTTCCGCGATCGTGATTAAGGATCACTGGGCAGATTTAAATGTTCAAAAATGAGGGTTTGAGTTCATAACACAAAATTCATATGGGAGCTCTGTGGGAGGGGATTCTTTCAGAGATGTTCACGTGGGTGTTTGGAGTAAGTGATTCTTACCTAGTTTTGGTTAATTTCCATGATTATGCCTTTGATTTCATCATTTAATTAGTGATTTGGGGTGGAAAATTGGGGAAAATGGAGAAAAGTTCTTAGACCAAATTTTGATGTTTTGATCGAGGTTTTGGTATCGGATTTGAGTAATTTTGGCATGAGTGGACTTGTGGTTGAACTGGTGTCTGGTCTGTGACTTTTATCCGACTCCGTGACGTGGGCCGGGTCGACTTTTTAGGGCGATTTTCTAATTTCTTGTTAAAGTCATTTTCATTAATTAGTTAGTTTCTTATAGTTATATTTATAGTATGTGATTGCTTTTGGTTCGATTTGGGCCGTTCGGAGTCAGAAAGTCAAAGTAAAGGCATTCTTATTGACTGATTGAGCTTGGTTTGAGGTAAGTGACTTGTCTACCCTTGTATGGGGGAAATCCCTTTAGGATTTGGTACTGATGTAACAATTTGTGATATGTGAGTGCCGTGTACGTGAGGTAACAAGTGCGTACACATGCTAAATATTGAAATTTCGATTTTCGTTAAGTAGTTTCCTTTTTATGCCTTTATTGAGTTATTCTAGCATGTGTAGTCTTCATGTTTAGCCTAATTTCACATGCCTACCTATTTCATATCTTAATTAAAGTTTGTAAAACATGCTTAGTTGGAATTACCCATTTTTCCTTGATTCCGTATTTGTTATTTAACTGTAGCATTTCCTGCTTGTAATATCATTGTTTCATTTACTACATGTTGACTTTTGTGATTCTTGTTGAGTTGACTGTTTGGTTGTGGCACGAGGTTTCTTCCATGCGGAGTGTTATTGGCATGAGGTTTCTTCTGTGTAGAGTGTTATTGGAAGAACTCTTGGGACTGCTCTTGGCGGTGGCGGAGGAGGGCCTGGAATAGGATTGTTGTCATTTGCGTTGGCCGGACGGCCTCTATGTGGAACTTGAGGTGGTTGAACCTCTTCGGGCTCAAGATCATCTACCTCCTCCCCCGCATTCACGTTGCCAAGAGGGTCGTTTGCATTGAGAGCCATAGTACCTGAATGATCGACACAAACAGAATTAGTAAACAAGAAGGAAAGAGAAGCAAAACACAAAACTAACCAAACCGACAGTCAACACCATAAGCTCCCCGGCAACGGCGCCAAAAAGTTGATCGCTGCCGACTCAACACTACACTAATATAGGAAGAGCGGGTTGCAACAACTTTTACCCGATAGTGGATCGGGATCGGGATCGATTTTCCACAGGGAGCTAGAGAGGGAGTTGTATTATCTGCTTAGTTTAGAATTGTAGTTGTGCTTCTAATATCACTTCTAACATTTTCGGTTTTGGTTTTTATATCTTCTACTTTGCGACTAATATTTGAAGCTAAATTATGCTATGGAGATATTGCTAAGTTGTAATTAATATAGAGAAAGGCACTACGGTCGTGGCATTACCCAGGTGGCTAACTAATGGGTAGATGCTACTAAGGGTAAATTGACTTATTTGGGGCTTATGCTATAACCGTTGCTCAATTGTACCCACTCTCACACCTCTCGGTAGAGAGAGTGATTTTGCCCAATTGACTCTCTCGAGACCAATTGGGTAGGCCAATTTGACCAAGCAACTAGGGTTCAAGTGGGGTAATCACTCTCTCGAGATTTAACCCGTTAATTGGGACTACCATTTCTCATGGGTCCATCCCAATTTTTTGGTGGATCAATTTTGGGGTCATAGACTTTCTCTCTCAAGAAGAGTCAAACCCACTAAGCTAGAATTAGTGTTTGCAACCACCAATCCTTAATGAAAACCTACAATTAACCCAAATAGCAAACACCCAATATCAATCTTGCCTTAGATTGCAACACCCATTAATTACCCACACTAGGGTTGAGCCACAACCCTAGCTAGTGAGTTTAGCTACTCATGTTAGATGCAAAAATTAAAGAAATAGATGAAGAAGCAAACATAATAATTGATTACTAAGGAAGAAATACAAAATTAGAGGTTAAAAACACCAAAAATGGCTAAACCCAATGTTCTCACGAGCTCAGCAGCCTTCGGTATCTCCAACTTAACATAAAAATGGAAAAAGGATCTATTTGTAGTGGCTGAAAAACTTGGACAAAAATACCCCTGCGGGGTCAATGCGGGCCGCGCAAAAGTATAGCGCGGCCGCGTGGGATCTTGAAATCTTGAAGATTGGCTCTCTGAAGTTGAGGATAGCGGGCCGCGCAAAAGTGTAGCGCGGCCGCATGAAATCTGGCGCGGACCGCGTAAATGTGACCGCGGCCGCGTGGCTTGCTTTGGTCCCCAAACTTCATCTCTCTGAATCTCTTCACGCGGACCGCATGAAAATGTGGCGTGGCCGCGTGATCTAAGCGCGGGCCGCGTAAATCCAACCGCGGCCGCGTGGTGAGAGTCTTGAATCGGCACTTCTCTGATTCTCCTAGTGCGGCCGTGTGCACTTTTGTGCGGTCCGCACTAGGGTCTTTTTACTTCACTTTTCTTGGCCTTTGATGGCAGGTTTCACTCCGTTTTGAGCCAATCTTTGACAATTCAGTCACTTTGTCGCTCAAACCTGCAATCAAGCACAACCTGTGAGCATTTTGGGATTACTTTGTATCAAATTATACTCAAAGCATAGGCAAGTAGGGGCATAAAATACGTTAAAATCCTACTTATCACCGGGGCCGGGGTAGAGGCCGAGGACGTCCACGTGGTGCAGCCAGAGCACTCGCACGAGCCGCTACACAGGAGCCACCAGTAGCTCCAGTCAGGGCGCAAGCACCTGAGATGCTTGTTACTGCACCAGCTCTTCAGGAGACCCTTGCCCAGTGTCTGAGCATATTTGGGACTTTAGCTCAGGTAGGGTTGATCCCACTTGCTCCTACCACATCTCTGGACAGGGGAGGAGCATAGACTCCCGCCGCCCGTACCCCAGAGCAGCGGGTTCAGGTCAACCAGGTTCAGGAGGTCATATCAGTGCAGCCGGTAGCCCCAGTCCAGCTCGAGGTTAGGGCAGCAATTTCTGAGAAGGAACAATGCAGGCTCGAGAGGTACAGGAAGTGCCACCCTGCTACTTTCAGTGGCTTGGCATCAGAGGATGCCAAGGGTTTTATTGAGGAGTGCCACCGTATCCTCTGTACTATGGGTGTAGCAATGTCTAGTGGGGTTTCTTTCACTGTGTTCCAGCTTAGGGGAGCGGCTTATCTGTGGTGGCGTGCATATGAGTTGGGTAGTCCGGCCGAGGCAGCTTCACTCACTTGGACTCAGTTCTGGGATATGTTCTTGAGGGAGTATGTTCCCCAGAGTCTCAGAGATGCATAGCGCGCAGAGTTTGAGCAGTTGCGCCACGGGTCTATGACCGTGTCGGAATATGCCATCCGGTTTAGTGATTTGGCTAGGCATGATTGCTACTGTTAGAGAGCGGGTTTGTCAATTTATCGAGGGGCTCAACCCCAATTTCAGATTTAGCATGGCCCGAGAGTTGGGATTGCTAGGAGATTGGACGATATGCTGACTCGGGAGAGAGAGGAGAGAAGCAAAGAGGTATCGAGAGTCTGGTACTTATAATGGTACTCGTGCCCCAGCTGCAGCTCGTCAGGGTAGGGGCTACCTGTTCATTCAGCACTTCTAGCCGCCAGTGGTATACCGGTCACTCCTAGGCCTCAGGCTCCCTATCATGCACTGCCAGTGTCTAGTGCACCTCCTGCACGGGGTGCTTTTAGCGGTCAGTCCAGCCAATCAGGCCCGAGCCAGCCACATTTGCCACGTCCTCTAAGAGCTTGTTTTGAGTGTGTGGCACCCGTCATATGCTAAGGGATTGTCCCAGATATAGGTGGAGTGCACCTCCATAGACTACTCAAGCTCCGCGTGCTCCACCGGGTCCTCATGCTATGGTTACAGCACCAACTACCAGTCCACCTGCTCAGCCAGCTCGAGGTGGAGGTCGGGCAAGTAGAGGTCGCCTTAGAGGGGGAGGCCAGGCTAGATATTATGCTCTTCCTGCTCGGACGGAGGTAGTTTCATCCAACTCTGTCATTACAGGTATTGTTTCGGTCTGTCATAAAGATGCATCGGTCTTATTTGATCCAGGCTCCACTTATTCCTATGTGTCATCTTGTTTTGTTTCGTAGGTGTGTGAGCACGTGATTTTTGCCCTATGTGAATTACTCCCATAAATTCAAGAAAAATAAATTTTTTCCCATTATTTGTAATTTCGTAGATTTTTGTAGCTTTTTGCTAATTGTTTGTATATTGTGTGCATGTTTAATTTTTTAATTCATAAAAATACAAAAATATAGTGCATTTGCATTTAGAGTTTAATTTTATATTTTTAGATTAATTAGTAAATTATTATGTTTTACAAAAATATAAAAGAAATCACAAAAATGATTTATTTTTGTATTGTTTAATTTTTAGCTTTGAATTTTGTTAGTTTTCCTTTAATTTGGTATTTAATTAGTTGTGGTAATTATTAGATTTAATTAGTTGGTAGGATTATTTTGGTTAGGAATTAAGTTAGGTTTTATTTTATTTTTATTTTTTGTTCTTAAAAGAAAAAGGAATTAAAAAAAATTGAAAGAAAAGGGAAAAGAATTGAAGAGATTCAGATTCTTGGGCCAATCATCCAGGCCCAATTGAATTTCCTTACTACCCAGCTAAACCCGTTTGACCCCAGCCCAAAACCCGCTCCAATACCCAGTCCAGCTTTCTTTTAAACCAAAACGGTGCCGTTTAGAGTTCCCCGTCTTGAAGCGATCTGAGTCCTTCATCTTAGTTCATCCAACGGTGGAAAATACTTCCGTCATTTTAATTAAATCTGTCCTAAAGCTACAGAGACCAGCTTAGTCCAAACAGACCCCTCCCCTTCCGTTCATCTCTCTCATCTCTCTCATACACAACCCTAGCGCCGCCTCTAGGAGATCCGCCATGTTTACCGTCCAAACACCACCAAACCTTCACCAAAACCTCACCACACACCCTCCATAGTCCCTCTCCGTTGGTCTTTAATTTCAGATCGTAAAAAACGGAACCCTGATTCTTTCCTCACCTCTATTCCATCATGTAAAAGTCGATGTTATTCTCCAAGTATCGAGATCGTTTCGACCCGAAATGAGTGTTAGTCGGTTGTTACGAGAACAACCCGACTAACACTCGTTTTTGGTCCAAATCAAACTGGCCGGAGTTTATCAAAGTTGAAGTGTGAGATATTTCTTCTTTCGGTTTTTCTCTCCTCACTTAGTGTTTCTTCTTTATTTTTCTACATCCTCTTCCCTTTTGTTAGTTCTCTTTGATAATAGTCACCGGGATCTTTGCATTTTCTTTTGTTTCCTTTCCATCTATTTTTCTTGATTTTTTGATTCTGTTCTTGGGTTTTAATTTCTATTTACAAGCAATTTTCGTTTTGTTTTCCATAAAAAAAAGGATAAGAGTCATTGGGTTTTTGTTTTGTTCTGCGCGCTAATTTTAGTTATAGCTTAGCTTGAAAGTCAAGCCCAATTTGTTGGTTTATGACAAGTTCAGAAAAATTGCTCTAAATGCCCACGACCTTGTTTCCTTCTCATTCGATTTGGGCTTGACCGTATTGGGCTGTTCAAGCCAGACCTCATTTGGTGTCTGGGTTTACCAGGTCACCATAACCCATATCTGTTTTGGGTCTCCCAGTGAGGGAGGGATTGGCTTGCAAAACTGATTTTGAATTGGGGTTTGAACTGAATGAAGGAAATTTGGGAAGGGGTAAATGACAATTAATAAAATCTTTAGTGCTGCCCTAACCCCTCTCTATAAAAGCCCCATTTCCTGAAATTTTTAAGGGGATCAGATTGGAGAAAATTAAAAACGGCTGAAAAATACTGAAATGGTTTGAATAATTAGAAAAATACAAAGACAAATCACAGAATTACTGTTACATTGAAGTTTTTCTGCAATTCTTGGGGTTTTCAAGTTTGAAAGTAATCTCTGAGTCATTTTGGGCTCGAACTAGTGTTAAGAAGCTGGATTTGCTATTGTTGAACTGCTGAAGTGCATCTGCTTCTGCTGCTGATTTTCTCACCTTTTTCTTTTGCTCTAATTGCATAAGGTATTCTCTCGAAACTATGGTGGACATGAAGCCTGCTTAAATTTTTTGTGTAAAGATCTGTGAACCGAGGTGAAGTTTAAATGAAAAATACTAGTTCCTGTTGTAATTACTGCTCGATTATGCCATTTTATTGTTCATGCTTTTAGTCTAGTTTATTTTGGATATTTCATTCCTGGATGTACATTTGATTTAAATGTTGGGTGGACTTTGTTTGAATATAGGTGGTTCAGGAATGTTTTAAACCTAGTATAATCTGTGTTAACTGAAGATTATGATTCCTAATTTAATTAGTTAAGGCTGGATGGTTTGGATGTATGTTTCATGGCTGTGGTTCGAATTACAAGTTTAGACCCTTCATGTTGTTGGTCTAGCAAGCTTGGTTTGGGTTTATTTCCCACTGTTCATTTTAGATCTGTTCCTGTATAGCTTGAAATACAGTACAGTGGTTTTAGAGTTGTCCTTCAGTTCTGCTTTTGCTCATGTACGAGCACCTTTAATCTTAAAAGGATTTTTTGAATGGGGTTTGAGCTTGGTTTTTGACTTGAAACTTATAGATTTAGATTAACCCTTCACATTTAGTTTTCTTTGGCTAAGTTTCGATGTCATGTGGTATGTTTTAAATGTGCTATGCTTGAATCAGAATTTAATACAAGCTGGGGGGCCTTTGAGTTTTGTTAATTGGTGAATAATTTGTGTAAAGGTGTGTTATTGTAGCTAGGGATTGTATCTTCACTTTAGAACCTATGTTAGCATTAAAATGTACTTTGCATTTGATTCAAAGATTATCAGTATATGATCAATTCCAGATTTTCTTGAATGATACAATTTGCTTCAAACATATTTGTTGAATCGTGTATTGGGCTGCCATCATTGGCCCAATTGCGATTGTCTTCCCCTTCCACAATAGGCTGCCAAGCTGGGCTTCACGTTGAGCCCAGTTATTTCACATGCTGAGCCTGCAGCAAATGGGCAGTTGATCGTTGGGTTCATAGCCCACCTGGACCGCTTCAGTAACTCAATTTGATGTCATGTACTGTTAGCTTACGAATTATTAACACTGAGTTTAAAACTTTCGCCTTAGTGATTGGAAATTCTTCAGCCGTTTAATTAGTTGGCAAGGTCTTTTAAATTAATCGAGGTGAGCCATGCCAAATAAAATCCCAAATGCATGACCCTCATTAAATTCATTCTAAATCCTTAGAAATCGAGATGTGCCATTTAGTCGAATTTTCGTGGCCCTCGCGAAGTTGAAATTGTGTAGTTGCTTTAGGCGCGCTATTTTAAAAATTACCTTCCTAAAATAGGGTGTGCATTTCATGTGACCCAAATCCAAATCTTAACAACGTTAAATAAAATGTGTCTCGGACTGCGGGTGCATTTCATGTGGCGTGGTCCAAAGACGTGTTTTAGATGACGTTGAAATCTTCCTTAAAATAATTAAAAGCGGCTTTTTTAAAGTTAAAATGCACATAGGTTTAAAAGTGTTTTAAAATCAGATAAATAGGCCAATAATAATAGTTGAGCGACCGTGCTAGAACCACGGAACCCGGGAATGCCTAACACCTTTTCCCGGGTTAACAGAATTCCTTACCCGGATTTCTGCGTTCGCGGACTGTAAAACAGAGTCAATCTTTCCTCGATTCGGGATTTGAAACTGGTGACTTGGGACACCATAAATTATCCCAAGTGGCAACTCTGAATTTAATAAAAATAATCCCGTTTCGATTGTCACTTTAAGTTGGAAAAAACTCCCTTATACCCTTCCGGGGGTAGGAAAAAGGAGGTGTGACCATGTGTATCCCGTGATTCTTTGAGTTCTCCTATCTATGTGTCTACACCTGTAAGAGATTCTATTGTTGTTGACCGTGTGTGTCGGTCGTGTTTGGTTGTTCTTAGTAGTGTTGAGACCCAAGCTGATCTATTATTGCTCAGTATGGTAGACTTTGATATTATTTTAGGCATGGATTGGTTGTTCCCCTATTATGCTATTCTTGACTGTCACGCCAAGACCGTGACGCTGGCTATGCCAGTATTACCACAGTTAGAGTGGAGATGTACCTTAGATTATACTCCTAGAAGAGTTATTTAATTCCTAAAGGCACAACGAATGGTTTAGAAGGGGTGTAATGCGTATCTAGCTTATGTGAGAGATGTTAGTATTGATACTCCTACTATGGAGTCAGTTCTGGTAGTGAGGGATTATCCAGTTGTATCTCCAGCGTATCTTCCGGGCATGCCGGACGGCAGGGATATTGACTTTGGTATTGATTTGTTACCGGGCACTCAGCCCATCTCTATTCCTCCATATCATATGGCTCCGACTGAGTTGAAGGAGTTAAAGGAGCAGTTTCATGAGTTGCTTGATAAAGCTTCATTCAGCCCAGTGTGTCGCCTTGGGGTGCTCCGGTCTTATTTGTGAAGAAAAAGGATGGTTCAATGCGTATGTGTATTGATTATCGCTAATTGGATAAGGTTACAGTGAAGAACAGGTATCCATTTCCTCATATTGGTGACCTATTTGATCAGTTACATGGTGCCAGAGTGTTTTCCAAGATTGACTTGCGTTCAAGCTATCATCAGTTGAAGATTCGGGAGCCAGATATGCCGAAGACTGCTTTCAGGACTTGGTATGGTCACTACGAGTTCCTTATGATGTCATTTGGGCTTACCAATGCCCCAACAACATTCATGCCCTTGATGCATAGTGTATTCCGGCCCTATCTTGACTTATTTGTCATTGTGTTTATTGAAGACATTCTGTTGTACTCTCAGTGTCGGGAGGATCATGAGCAGCACCTGAGGACTGTGCTCCAAACCTTAAGAGAAAAGAAGTTATGTGCAAAAAATTTGAAGTGTGAGTTGTGGCTAGATTCAGTGGCGTTTTTAGGTCACGTAGTGTGAAGTGAGGGGATCAAGGTGGATCTGAAGAAGGTTAAAGTAGTGTAGAGTTGGCCCAGATTGTCCTCAGCTATGGAGATCCAGATTTTTCATGGTTTGGCGGGGTATTACCATTGATTTGTAGAGGGTTTCTAATCTATTGCAGCACCTATGACCAGGCTAACCCAGAAGGGTGCTCTGTTCAAGTGGATAGAGGAGTGTGAGGAGATCTTTCAAAAGATCAAGACTGCTTTGACTACAGCCCCAGTATTGGTGTTGACTACAGATTCGGGGTCTTATAATGTATATTATCATGCGTCGCATATTGGTCTCGACGTGGTGTTGATACAGGACGGTAGGGTGATTGCCTACGCGTCTAGACAAGTGAAGGTGCATGAGAAGAACTATCCTGTCCACGATCTTAAGTTAGCAGCTATTGTTCATGCCTTGATGAATTGGCGGCACTATTTATACGGTGTCCTTTGTGAGATCTACACCGATCACCGGAGTCTGCAACATCTATTCAAATAGAAGGATCTTAACTTGTATCGGCGGAGGTGGTTAGAGCTGCTTAAGGACTATGATATCACTATTCTATACCATCCCGGCATGGCCAATGTGGTGGCCGATGCCTTGAGTCGCAGGACGGAGAGTTTGGGCAGCTTAGCATATCTACCAGCAGTAGAGAGTCCATTGGCATTGGATATTCAGGCCTTGGCCAACAAGTTTGTTAGTTGGATTTTTTGAGCCGAGTGGATTCGTGGCTTGTGTGGTTTCTCATTCTTCTCTTTAAGATCGTATCAGGGAGCGTCAGTATGATGACCCCCATCTGCTTGTCATTAAGGACACGGTTCAGCTCAGTGATGCCAAAGAGGTCAGTATTGGAGATGACGGTGCATTGAGGATGCAGGGCAGGCTATCTGTGCCCAATGTAGATGGTTTGCGTGAGTTGATTCTCCAGGAGGCTCACAGTTTGCGGAACTCCATTCACCCGGGTGCCGCGAAGATGTATCAGGAGTTGAGGTAGAATTACTGGTGGAGGAGAATGGAGAAGGACATAGTGGAGTATGTAGCTCAGTACCTAAATTGTCAGCAGGTAAAGTATGAGCATCAGCGGCCAGGTGGATTGCTTCAGAAGCTAGAGATTCCGGAGTTGAATGGGAGCGGATCACTATGGATTTTGTTGTTGGCTTCCACGGACTCAGAGGAAGTTCGATGCAGTTTGGGTGATTGTGCATAGGTTGACCAAGTCGGCTCATTTCATACAAGTGATGACTGCTTATTCTTTTGAGCAGCTGGCTCGAGTTTATATCCGCGAGATTGTCGGGCTTCATGGCGTGCCAGTATTCATCATCTATGATCGGGGTACGCAGTTTACATCGCGATTCTAGGGGGTCGTACAGCATGAGTTAGGTACTTGGGTTGAGTTGAGCACATCATTTTACCCTCAGACGGACAGATAGTCTGAGCGCACTATTTAGATATTGGAGGATATGCTTCGTGCATGTGTGATGGAGTTTGGGGTTCTTGGGATCAATTCTTGCAGTTTGTGGAGTTTTCCTACAACAATAGTTATAAGACGAGCATTCAGATGGCCCTGTATGTGGCTTTGTATGGTAGAAAGTGTCGGTCTCCAGTGGGTTGGTTCGAGCCGGGCGAGGCTAGGATATTAGGTACAGTCTTGGTTCAAGATGCTTTGGAGAAGGTTAAAGTGATGCAGGATCGACTTCATACAGCCCAATCCAGACAGAAGAGTTATGCAGATCGGAAGGTTCGCAATGTTACATTCATGGTTGGGGAGCGGATCTTGCTCCGGGTTTCGCCCATGAAGGGTGTTATGAGGTTCGAGAAGAAGGGCAAGTTGAGCCCTAGGTATATCAGGCCTTTTCAGATTCTTGTGAGGGTTAGAGATGTGGATTACAGACTTGCACTACCACCTAGTCTAGCTGCAGTTCATCCACTATTCCATGTTTCTATGCTTCGAAGTATCACGTTGATCTGTATCATGTGTTATATTTCAGCTCAGTCCGATTGGACAAGGATTTCTCTTATATTGAGGAGCCGATGGCCATCTTTACAGGCAGGTTCGAAAGATGAGGTCGAAGAACATTGCTTCAGTGAAGGTTTAGTGTAGGGGCCAACCAGTCGAGGAGGCAACTTGGGAGACCGAGCATGATATGCACAGCCGTTACCCTCATCTTTTCACCGCTTCAGGTATGTCTCTATACTCATTCAAGGACAAATGATTGTTTTAAGAGGGGGAGGATGTAATGACCCGACTGGTCATTTTGAAAGTATTAGCCCCGATCCCCTATTTATTATCCCTTTTCTTTCATTTTACGATTACTTGACTTTCTAGGGTGCTCGGTGTCGGGTTTGGGAGAGTTTCAGAGTGGAATGGGACACACAGTCCCTATGTTTGAAGTTTGAGTTGTAAGAGTAGACCGTAGTTTGACCTGTATGAAGATGACTCCGGAATTGAGTTTCATCGGTTCCAATAGCTCCGTATGGTAATTTTGGTCTTAGAAGCGGGTTCGGACGTTGATTCAGAGGTCTGCAGGTCATTTCGGCGTTATATGGCAAAAGTTGGAAATTGGTGGAATTTTGGGAAGTTTGATCGGGAGTGAACCTTTTGATATCAGGATCAGATTCCAATTCCGGAAGTTGGAGTAGGTCTGTAATGTCAAATGTGACTTGTATGTAAAATTTGAGGTCGATCGGACGTGTTTTGATAGGTTTTGGCATATCGGTAGTAATAGAAATCCGATTAGTTATATGAGTAAATAAATACCGCAAATATTGTTCATATTCATGTTTATATTTATAAATATCGCTCTTAACTGTTGCGCGGGGCCAACCATTATAAGTAGGATTAAAAACTTTTCTAATATAATGCACAAAATTAGGGTTAGAAGGAAAAGTATAGGGTAAGCACATAACGGTAACCATCTTTGATAATTCTTTACGATCTTTATTAGGATCGTAATATAAAATACCACCGGTCACAGTGTTAATTCCTGGTTGAACTAGATTTGAACCTGTACTAGGGTTAACCGCAGTATCTACACTTGTCCCCTCTTGCTGCGCTTTCATTTGTAAATATTTAACTTTATCTCTAGGGTGTGTTTGTATGTGCCTAGCCAAACTACCCGTACCGCTACGGTCTCCAGTATATTTATGCGCCAGCAATTTCCCACAAGTTTTACACTTAGCCTTATTTTGTTCTCTTACTTGAGTAAAAAAATTCCAAACTATTGATGTTTCTAGGCGTTTAGAAGGTTGTCTATTAAAAGTAGGGGTTTATACAGGTGGGTCGGGTGGGGCATCAGTTGGGTTATTAACAGGACTAGTAGGTGTATCATCTAAATCCGGTTGGGTTTCATCTACATCCTCATTTTCCTCATCATTTTCTAAGATAGTTTGATTAGGATAAAGAGCATTCATAACTTCTTCATTTAAGTGTTCACCTGGTGCAACATTATGGCAAAATTCACTATCGGAAAAGTAAAAACAAGGGTTATCACTATCAAGAATAATAGGAGCAGCAGGACGGGTAACAGGTCTGGGTCGGGGAGCCGGGGGAAGGGTAGTAGGTTGGCGACTACTTTCACCAATTTTAGCTTTTCCCTTACCACCAAACCTTTTATTTCAAAGAAAATGCCATATTAATTACAATTATGCAAACTAAAACACACAAAAATATATTCTTAAAACTTAAGAGTTGGAACGAGTTTACCGAATTGCCGAAAAACTTCTTGAAAATTGAAAATCGTTGAAGACTTGAAGACTTGAATACTTCAATTAAACAACTTCACAATTTTTCACGAAATTGCAATAATAAAATAAGCAATTATAGAAGAGAAATTAGATATAGATTGAGAGAGATTAAGAGAGATTGATGAATTGGTAAATGAAAGAATGAGGGGGTATTTATAGTTGAGAATTGGGAAAAAGTATAATTATATAAAGTTTGGGGTTAAAATAAAGTTTGGGGGCCAAATGGCTATTTTTTAAAGTGGCCAACGGATAAATTTTGAAGGCCAACGGCTAGATTTTATAAATCTGACCGTTGGTCTTTTTTTTTTTAATTTTTTTTAATTTAAAAATAGCCATTGGAGCCCGTTAGGCCCGTTGGGCCCGGTTGAACCGGCCCAGGCCCGCTTGCCGGTCCCGGGCTTAGCGGTCTCGGGCTCGTGGGCTCCTTGAATTGGACCGGCCCGCCACGGGCCTTGTGCACCATTTGGGACCGACCCACCGAGACCGGCCCACCAGGCCCGTTTAGCCCATTTGGACCGCGGTCCCGGTCCGGTCCCAGGCCAGGCCCGGCCCACAGTGCACCATTAGTAGGAATGTTTGGTTGAGGCCCCGCTGGCCTCGGGTGAGTTTCTGATGGTTAACGGATTAATTTCTGACTTGGAAGACTGGTGAAGAATTTCTGGTGTCTAGTTCTGGTTTCCTTATACGCGGTCGTGTAGGCTAGTTGGAGCAGCTGTGATGTTTGTTCAATTCGATCGATAGCTATGGTACGCGATCACGTAGGTTAGGGAAACAGTGCATCACGAACGCGTGCGCTGGGACGCATTCGTAAAGAGGAGGTGAGGCAGTAGTGGAGTTCACGCTTCTGTTCTCTGCGGTCGCGTGAGGAAGGACGCGATCGCGTAGGTCTAAGGAATCAGTGGTATGCGATCGCAGGTGTGGAGACACATTCGCGTAGGCTTAATTTCTTAGGCAACTGAATTGTGCTTCGCGTTCGCGAGGCAATTTTTTCGATCACGATTAAGGATCACTGGGCAGATTTAAATGTTCAAAAATGAGGGTTTGAATTCATAACACAAAAATTGATTTGGGAGCTCGGTGGGAGGCGATTCTTGGAGAGATTTTCATGTGGGTGTTTGGGGTAAGTGATTCTTTTTTACCTAGTTTTGGTTAATTTCCATGATTATGCCTTTGATTTCATCATTTAATTAGTAATTTGGGGTGGAAAAATTGGAAAAAATGGAGAAAAGTTCTTAGACCGAATTTTGATGTTTTGATCGAGGTTTTGTTATCGGATTTGAGTAATTTTGGTACTGGTGGACTCGTGGTTGAACGGGTATCCGATTTTTGTGACTTTTACCCCATTCCGAGATGTGGGCCCGGGTCGACTTTTTGGGGCGATTTTCTATTTCTTGTTAAAGTCATGATTTCATTAATTAGATTAGTTTCTTATAGTTATATTTATAGTATGTAATTGCTTTTGGCTAGATTTGGGGCATTCGGAGTCGGAAAGTCGAGGGAAAGGCATTCTTATTGACTGATTGAGCTTGTTTTGAGGGAGGTGACTTCTCTAACCCTGTGGGGGGGGGGGGGGGGAACCCTAAGGATTTGGTACCGTTGTAAGAATTTGTGATATGCTGTGTACACAAGGTGACGAGTGCGTACACGGGCTAAATGTTGAAATTTCTATTTTCGTTAATTAGTTTCCTTTTTATGCCTTAATTGAATTATTCTAGCACGTGTAGTCATCATATTGGCACGAGGTTTCTTCCGTGCGGAGTGTTATTGGCACGGGGTTTCTTTCATTCGCAGTGTTATTGGCATGAGGTTTCTTTCGTGCGGAGTGTTATTAGCATGAGGTTTCTTCCGTGCAGAGTGTTATTAGCACGAGGTTTCTTTCGTGCGGAGTGTTATTGGCACGAGGTTTCTGTCGTGCGGGTTGATGTTGTGGCATGAGGTTTCTGCTGTGCGGTTACTGTTTTCCTCTATATGTTGTGTTGTTTGTTGTTGATGTCGTTCCTTAACTTGTAATATGTTCGTTTCCTTACATGTTGTAATTGTCTTCTTGTTTTTCGGTGCTGTTGCTTTTCCGTACTCTCTTATTGCTTCATTAACCTGCCATTTATTTTATCATTTTGCCTTCTGCCTTATTTCTTATATTCCAGTAGGGCCTTAACCTGACCTCGTAACTACTCTACCGAGGTTAGGCTTGGCACTTACTGGGTACCGTTGTGGTGTACTCATACTACGTTTATGCACATATTTTTGTGCAGACCCAGGTACATCTTATAAGCCTCGATAGTAGAGCGTTGGGCTGCTGCTTGGAGACTTCAAGGTATATTTGCTAGCATCCGCAAACCTCGGAGTCCCCCTCTATCCTTATTATGTTGTCTTTTCTTTACTCTCTTAGACGTTGATGTATAGAGTCATTTAGTACTTCCTTAGAGTTTGTGACTTGTAACTACCGGGTTTTGGGAGTTGTTCTTCTCTAAGTTGAAATTTTACTTGCACATACCGAGCGACAGTTTACAATTATATATATTTATCTGTTGATGTTGAGTTTTTAGTCGTTGTTTCAGTTTTTTCCCGCAATTGTTAGGCTTACCTAGTCTTAGAGATTAGGTGCCATCATGACATCCTACGGAGGGGAACTTGGGCCGTGACATTTCTTCATCGCAAATTCATGCAAGAGAAAGCTAATTCTTTAATAAAATCTTCAGCAATAACAATACTGGAAAAAAATGACACAAGTAGTTATTCCCAACAAAGAACAAGAACCAAACTTCTTGTCTGAAAATAAAAATAATGGCTATGGCCTATATGATCATGAATCTGGTTAACTTTCTCCTTCCACCACCACTACTAAAAATATAGAAAACCCTACAAAGAAATCAACCCCGCCACCACCCTAACTAATAATATTCACAATAGCAAAAACCTTCCCAAGAATTACAATAATGTGGCCCATGTCACCATCTCAACGAACGACGACAACAACAACAATAATGATGAAGATTACAAAAATACTAGTAGTACTAATAACAGAAATAATAATAACAGAGATTACTATAATAGTGGCAGTACTACCAGCAAAAACTACAATGGGGAGTACTACAATGGTGGTAACATTGACAACAAAAACAACAATAATAGGGAGTACTACAATGATGGCAATAGTAACAACAAGAAAAACAACAGGAGTACTACAATAGTGATAGTACTAGAAACAATAACAACAACAACAACAACAATGATGAGGAGTACAAGAATAGTGGCAATAATAACAATGAAAATAAGACAAAAAACGATACTACAATGATGGCAATACTAACAACAACAATAACAACAAAGAGTACTACAATGGTGACAGTACTAACAACAACAACAACAACAACAACAATAACAAGAAGTACTACAATGGTGGTAGTACTAAAAATAACAACAATGAGGGGTACTTCAATGGTGGCAATACTAACGACAACAATAACAATAACAACAAGAAGTACTTCAATGGTGGTAGTACTAACAAAAATAACAACTACTACTACAACGATAACGAGGAGTATCACAATGGGGGTAGCACTTACTACAACAATAACAACAATAAGGAGTACCACAATGGTGGTAGTACTAATAACAACAACATCAACAATGAATGGTACTTTAATGGTGATAGTACTAACAAGAATAACTACAAGAAGTATCACAGTGGGGGGTAGAACTTACTATAACGACAACATCAACAACAATAACAATGAGAAGTATCACAATGGGGGTAGAACTAACTACAACAACAACAACAACAACAACAACAACAACAAGAAGAAGTATCACAATTGGGGTAGCACTTACCACAACAATAACAACAATAACAACAACAACAACGAGGAGTAGTATAATGGTGGCAGTACTAACAACAACGACAACAACAAGTAGTACTATAATGGTGGCAGTACTTAAGTCACTAAATACAGCCTTAGTATAAGTCATGTTACAAATATTATTTAAATAATATTTTTTGAACTACTAAAGAAAATTAAAGAAAAAAATTTGAGTTCTTAAAAAGATGAATTATTATCGATCCTATTTATCTAAATCCAACAAATAAGTGTTATTATATTGATGTAGTAGTTAAATGCATAGTAATTGAATATATTTTGGAATAAATTTTCTTCCCGAGTTTCCATATTCTGATATGAAATTTTCCCCAACTTCTTTTTAGAATTTATAGATAAAGTACGTTCCGAGCTAATGTATATAATTAGTTTTTTAATATAGTATTGAATGTTCAATTAAGAATAGAGATAACTATAGCGACCCGACCGATCGTTTTGAGCATTTACATTTAGTTCAGCTGTTTGAAGTCTTGAGTAGCTTCATGTGATGTATTATGACTTGTGTGAAGCGTCGGTTTGGTTTTTCAGGTGATTCAAGATTGATTTGGAGAAATGATTTTCAACTAGGAAGCTTTAAGTTGAAAAAATTGACCACGTTTGACTTTTGTGTGTTTGACCTTGGATCAGAGTTTTAATGGTTACGTTAGGTCCGGATGGTGATTTTGGAGTTGTCCATATGCCCAGAATTTTATTTGGATGTTTCTAGAAGGCTCTGGCGCTAATTGGCGAAAGTTAGCAATTTGAAGGTTTGGAATGTTCGTAGGTTTGACCGGGAGTTGATTTGATGATATCGGATTGAGATTGTTGATTCGGGAGTTGGAATATGCTCTTTATGTCATTTGGAACTTGTGTGCAAAAATGAGGTTATTTCGAGTTGACTTGGTATGGTTTGGCTCGAGTTTTGGAAGTTGAATGTTTAAAAGTTCATTAAGTTTGATTTAAGGTGCGATTCGTGATTTTAATGTTGTTATGAGTGATTGATGCCTTGAGTAGGTCTGCTTTATATTTTGGTACTTGTTGGCTTGATCGGACGGGGCCCCGAGGACTCATGCGAGTTGCGGACGGGTTTCGTATCATTTTGGAACATTTTGGTTAAGGCTGGTTTGTGGCCGGATCTGGTGTGATCGCACCTATGGAGCTTTTGGCGCAGGTACGGAAACATGGCTGCAGAAGTGAAAGGGTCTGAGTTTGGGGATCTCCTCAGATGCGAGATATGGTCCGCATCTGCGGAAGCGCATAACGGTCTTTTGGGCGCAGGAGCGGATTTTGGCTCGCACCTACGATATCGCAAAAGAGGAAATAGTTCCGTAGGTGCGAGAGGTCAGGATTCGATGATTTACCTCAAAAGCAGAATACTCATTGCAGAAGCGATGCAGCAAAAGCAGCTGGGCGATCACAGATGTGTAGATGCCTGGGCAGTATCTATTTATTCGAGGGTTGAGTTATTTTATTCACATTTTGAGATATGGAGCTCGGTTTTTCTTGCGATTTTGGAGGGGATTTTCACCACATGTATTGGGATAAGTATTTTTGACTCGGTTTTGATTATATTCCATGATTCCATCTTCAATTTTGGTCATTTGATTGATGATTTTCAAAGAGAAATTGGGGGGTTTTGTCTAAATTTCTAAAGTGAATAATTGTGATTTGAACAATGATTCGGAGCCGTATTTGAGTAAAATTAGTATTGGTTGGACTCGTATTCGAATATGTTATCGGAATTTATGAGTTTTGCCGGGTTTCGAGGTGCGAGCCCAGGTTGACTTTGAGTATTTGACTAAAGATTCGACCTTTATCATTTGAGTTTATTTTCTATGGCATTATTTGATATTTTTGAGTTGCTTTGGGATAGTTTCGGACCGTTCGGAGGTTGAATCGCACGGGATGGCATCTCTAGAGTGTTATTTGGCTTGCTCGGTATTGGTTGCTTGAGGTAAGTATCTTATCTAAATTTGGTTAAGTCACTAGTTGCCTGAGTTATTTGTGATAGTTACGTGCTATTGGTGTGCATATGTGTGGGGATTGAGTCAATGTACGAGCACCGGGTATTTATCCAGGAGTAGTGTTTAGGCTATGAAATGCCTTGAATTGAGTGTTAAGCTTTTAGTTGTAATGATCTTCATATTTGTAACCTTGTTGTGAATTATTTGATCCATATTTGAGGTTACATAGAGGCTAATTCCCTGAATGAACTTGTTAATTGCTATTTCTATGATGAAATTGCCGATTGAGCTATGATAGTACATTTTGCACATGCCTACACTTTAGCATGTTATTAATGAAAAACAAAAACAAGGCGCTCCGTGATCAGATGAAGGATCATCAAGAAAGGGTCGATAAAATACCAGGCGCCCCAAAGTTATTACCGAAACAAGACGCTGATACCAGTCCAGAAACATGAAATCTAATATTCATTCATCATATACACGTGCTCTTGTATATTTGCTTCCATGTGATATGATTTGGACTGGATGCTTGTGAACACGCCGAGCGGATTGAATTATTATGCCTGTGACCATGCCAGGTGGATTTTGTTGTTATGACTGTGCCCACACCGAGCAAATGGCTTACCTAGTGGGTTAGGTTAGGTGCCATCACGACTAGTGAATTTTGGGTCGTGACAAGTTGGTATCAGAGCTCTAGGTTCATAGGTTTTTACGAGTCATGAGCAAATGTCTAGTAGAGTCTTTCGGATTAGTATGATGACGTCCATACCTATCTTTGAGAGGCTACAGGGCATATAGGATAAACATCCCATTTTTATTTCCTTACCTTGAGGCATTGATCAACTTGAAGCGTATCTCTTTGAATTCCTTCCACTCACTCGTATGTTGTTATAGGCAAACTCTGGAAGCGGCAAGAACTGATCCCACGAACCCCCAAAATCCATAACACAGGCACGTAGCATATTCTCTAAGATCTGAATGGTGCGCTCAGACAGCCCGTCCGTCTGGGTATGAAATGTTCTATTCAACTCAACCCCTGTGCCTAACTCATATTGCACGGCTCTCCAGAAATGCGATGTGAACTACGTGCCTCAATCAGAGATAATGGACACCGGCATACCATGGAGACGAACAATCTCAAGGATATAGATATGAGCCAGCTGCTTAGAAGAATCAGTAGTCACCACCGTGATGAAATGTACCGACTTGGTCAGCCTATCCACAATAACCCATAATGCGTCAAATTTCTTCAAAGTCCGCGGGATCCCAACAACGAAATTCATGGTAATACGCTCTCATTTTCACTCAGGAATCTCAAGTCTCTAAAGCAAACTGCCCGACCTCTGATGCTCGTACTTCACCTGCTGACACTTCAAGCACCGAGGCACATACTCCACTATATCTTTGTTCATTCTTCTCCACCAGTAGTGTTGTCTCAAATCCTGATACATCTTCTCGGTTCCCAGATGAATGGAATATCGTGAACTGTGGGCCTCCTAAAGAATCAACTCACGCAACCCATCTGCATTGGGTACGCAAATCCGATCCTGTATCCTCAACACCCCATCATCTCTAATAGAAACCACCTTGGCATCGTCGTGCTGCATTGTGTCCTTAAGGACAAGCAAATAGGGGTCGTCATACTGACGCACTCTAATGCGCTCATATAGAGAAGAGTGAGAAACCACGCAAGTAAGAACCCGACTGGGCTGCGGAAAATCCAGCCTCACAAACTGGTTGGCCAATGCCTGAACGGCTAACGGTCTCTCACCGACCGGAATATTTACAAGGCTACCCATACTTTCCACCTTCCTACTCAAGGCATCGGCCACCACATTGGCATTCCCGAGAAGATATAGAATAGTGATATCATAGTCTTTTAGCAGCTCTAACCACATCCGCTACCTCAAGTTCAGATCCTTTTGCTTAAATAAGTGCTGTAGACTTCGATGATCTGTGAATACCTCGCAAGACACGCTGTAGATATAGTGCCTACAAATCTTTAACGTGTGAAAGATAGCTGCCAACTCTAGATCATGAACGGTGTAGTTCTTATCATGGAGCTTCAACTGGCGCGAAGTGTAAGCAGTCACCCTACCCTCCTGCATCAAGACACACCCAATACAAATCCGTGAAGCCGATACTGAAGCCAAAACAAGAACTGGAGTTGTTGTCAAGGCAGCCTTGAGCTTCTGTAAGCTCTCCTCACACTCGTCGGATCACCTGAATGGTGTACCCTTCTGGGTCATTCTGGTCAAAGGTGCAACAATGGATGAGAAACCCTCTACAAAATGTCGATAATATCCATCCAAACCAAGAAAACTCCGGGTCTCAGTAGCCGAAGACAGTCTAGGCCAACTCTGAACTGCCTCAATCATATTTGGATCTAACTTGAACCCCACACTAGACACAACATGACCCAAAAACGCCACCGAGTCAAGCCAAAACTCACACTTTTGAGAATTTTGCATATAACGTTTTGTCCCTCAAGGTTTGGAGTACGATCCTCAAATGTTGCTTATGATCCTCCCCGCTGCGAGAATAAACCAAGATGTCGTCAATAAGCATGATGATGAATGAGTCAAGATATAGCTGGAATACACTATTCATCAGGTGCATAAATGTTGTTGGGGCGTTGGTCAGCCCAAATGACATTACTAAAAACTCGTAGTGACAATACCGAGTTTTGAAAGCAATCTTCGGGATATCCGGGTCCGAATCTTTAGCTCATGATACCCCGACCGCAAATCAATCTTCAAGAACACTCTAGCACCCTGAAGTTGGCCATACAAGTCATCAATACGGAGTAATGGGTACTTATTCTTTACTGTAAAATTGTTCAACTGTTTATAGTCAATACACATCCGCATAGTACCA